CGCTAAAGTTTACGTCTTAACGAAGTTACGGAAAGTTAATTAACAAACGGAGACGTAACATTATGTTAAAAAAAGTAAAGTCACGTTCTTAGCACATTGTTTATTAGTGAGAACAAAACACTGTAGAAATGAAACGTTTGTGTCCTAATGTTGCTCAAAAACCCCGCATTTTACAGGAAAATCTAAGAATTTTGAGACGTATTCCAATGTCCATTGGTGGTACAGGGGTAAGTCTACGGCCTTACAACTGATTAAATACGGGGCTCGATTCCCCGCAGTGTATCCAGCAGATAGCACACTGTGGCTTTACTTTCAAACAAACACATAAACATGTCCCAATTTACCACATTATTTAGATCACAAGAAACAGAAGATGTCAAATACTCCACCTCTTCAGATAAAAGTGCATTAACGGCTAACATATCAACATCGACTTCCAAGGCTTTTGATCTCGGAGAAACGTTCTTCGATATTAGCTTGATGATTCTGATTCTTCAGATACAGTGTTTAGAAAACGCGATAATGTTATTTCGACAGAATGTTTCAATGCGTGGAAACACCTTTCTTTTTTTCTAGTCTGAAAGAGCATGATTATCCACTGATACATGTATACAACATCGCGTCTTGGCGGAACATGAGAGTAGGAATCATAGACAATAAAATTATAGACATTTTCAACATGGAGCTAATTTCAATAGAAAATAATTCCTAAAGATCTGTCCTTACGAAACTCACTTCTGGTTTTTCGTGCAATAAAAGAAAGGCTTCATGACCCTAGCAGTGAACTCAGAAGAGAAAGAACATCTTTCAAGCTATTGTTGAAAATGTAATTAAACAAAACCTTTTGTGTGATTATGGACAGCAAATCAGTCACTTGCCACAAAAACAATTGACATTTGCTCTGTGTATTGTTAATTGTGAATTATTGGTCAGTGCGTCAATTTCGGAACATTTTGCCAGATTTTTTTTTGTTGTTGAGGCAATTAATGATGAGGTTATGTGAGATTTCGTCAGGCACTTTTCAGTGTGTATTGTAGTATGATACGATGCTTTGTTTCAAACCAGTTGTGCAAGTCCCAGTGTAGCAATGTGCACCCTTGAAAACGAAACTCACGCAGTGCTTTACTTTCTGTAATATTATAGAGAAAATAGGTTTGCATCAGCTCACACTTCAGCACAGGAAACCACAGACCAAATGGACATCAAGATAATATTTCTAGAACAGAGAAGCCGAAGGAAGAAAGTGATTGAGTTGACTGTGAAATTTGCATATTAATGAAACACTCGCAGAAATATCTGTGACTATACAATCTACTTTTGCATCTCAAATGTAGAGGACGACGTTTTTGACGTTTGCGGACCTTTCATCTTCAAGTCAAAAACTTTAGCCTTGCATTACACATTCTTCTGCTTGTACCTTTAACTGTGGCAATAGGAGAGACAGAGAAACTTTTCACGTTAGAAATTAGTGAGGAATTGCATGAGTTCTGAATGGCCTGAAATATCAATTGACTATGATATTTATCACGAGTTGGATTTGTCTAAAATAATTTAAGCCTAGCTTCCTTTCCGCTAAAGCACGGAAGGTCCACTTCTAAATCACTTACATGTTTACTTTAATTGAAGTAGCATTTATGCTTTGAAGAAAATTAGTATCATTTAACATTTTGTTGTTACTTTTTAATTAACTTGCTTAGTAGTGCAAGACAAGTATTAGCACATTTTGTGAACGTGTAATATTGTATACTCAAAACATTTATTGAATTTATCTATACTAAAATTTTGAAATGGTTTCAGTGTACTTAACACTTTCAATGTTTCTTTGTTTGGAGTTTCGATCATTGTTTCACTTAAAGTAAGAATGTATTATTTATTTACATTTTAGCTGTAATGTGACTACTGATTTCACACCTTATTAACATGTGTACAAATCTCATATAAATGAAGATCATATTGTGTTTACATAACAATGACAGTTAATTATCTGATTATTTGTAGCAATGTGAAGTGAATATAGTGAACCAGTGCTAGATTGTACGTAGTTTTAATTTATATGAAGGGCTTGGTTTTCGAAGTGTTACTATAAAAATTAAAGGTAAGCGTATTAATGGCTATATGATCCTGGGTGAATAATTCATGTTTTATTTTTTAGAAAAATACATTCTGAGTTTTAAACGTTTTTTTTCTACGCTACAAAATATTATCATTGTAATTACAAAACGTTGGAAAAGGGGTATTCTGTTATGTGTATGGTGTTCCTTCGGTGGGATAGCGGTAAGTCTAGGAACTTGCAACACTAAAATCCAGGGTTCGAATTCTCGCCGTAGACACAGCAGATAGCTCAATGTAAATTTGCTATAAAACACACACATAGGTGTGTATGGTGTAAAAAAAAAAAACTAGCAGTGAAAGTTATTGAATGCGTGATGTAGGAGGCCCATGTTTTTTACTTGTCCTGGGAACCCTACAGGCTAACTTAGGGCCTAGTGTGCTAAGCATCAGCCCGAAATGTTCTGTTGATCGTGTTTCTGTTTTGATGTGAATTATTATAATTAATGTATTACCCACTATATACTGTGCTGTATAGAGAATTAATTATTAATTTATTCTCTTTAGCACTAAAATATGAAATATTATAGTTAAACCAAACTATACATTTCAATATCACATATTAAAATATTTATTCAGTTTTGACATTAAAAGTAGCAATAATTTTTACAGGTTGTTGCAAAATAATTAAATTTTGATTACATTAATACATTAAGTATAATATGTTTATATGTCTTGGTTATAAACTGACTTCTACTTTTCATAAACAGTACCTTAAGCACTGTAGCTCAGTTTCAGTTACGTGATGCTACATGTTTCCATCACTCATCGCGGCATTGATTTGAACAGTGAGGTTGGGTAGAAACTTGTGAAGCAGAAACCTTGGTTTGTATTTTTGTACTTTTTAAGTTCTACTCCTATTATTTTAAGTTATAAATAGAATATTTTACTGTGTAACCTGGTTATCGTATACACTTTATTGTTTTTAATTTAAGGAACTCTTTGTGTTGAACATTTTAATACGAACGTAGACGTTGTCCTCATACGTTAATACCTACTATTACTATGAAATTTGTGGTTTGGCATTAGGCTTAGCATTTTAAACGGATATACCGAATATAATATTTATGGTTACAATTAACTAGGTTAACCTGGCACCATCAGGTACAACAACTACAAAGTGACCTAGTTGTAACCATAGGTACTGTACTCTCTATGTCCGATAATAAACAAGTGTTAACTTAGTTTTACATAACGGGATACTTAAATTATTTAGGCTTAGCATTTGTTGCTAACATTTTTTAACCAAAGTTTTTTAGTTTTACTACAATTACTAATATTAAGTTGATACATACTAGTATTAGTAGTAGTACTAGTAGTGTTGGTGTGCTGCCATATTCCTTCCCCCACCAAAAGTTGTATTCATCATGAATGTGAGAATATGAATAGGAAAATGAACTAATATTAGGGGTTTTAAATGGTGAAAATGGCAAAAAATAAAATAATACACTACTGGATTGCACAGTAAAAAATTAATAGACTTGCACTGTAGTTTGAATTATGTAATTCTTAATTAACAAAATACAATTAATGATCATACCTGTAAATTGACCTTTTGCATTACACTAATGTCTAGTTGAAGCAATGCAAATATAATTGTTTTATTTGATAACCTGAGACATTGCATGAAACTTGTGACAAGGTGAGATAAAATGTAACCCTAATAAAATCCTTCAATTTAAAACCTATATGCATGAATTTATATTATATTGGTAAATGAAATGAAAACTGTTAATAACCAAATGTTAAAAATAAGTATAAACTTACATATATACCTATTCTTGAGGTTGGACATATAGGAACTTTTCCCTCCCACGGTGCAATGTCCGCAGAGCAACTGAGGCAAAGGGGCAAACAAATATATGACGAAGGGGAAATACCATTCATTTTTATATATAATACCTTCACCCAGGTTCAAGAATGCAGCACAGACTAACAATCTTATATCAATGTTTGCCAAATTCTTTTCACCTAGTTCATCTGAAATTTGTTTCAGGCTCTAAATGGGTAGAGGACCTTGCATTTTTTCAGTAGTCCAATTACCCGTTCAATGTGAATTTGAACAGAAGATATTAAACTTCTATTGGTGCAACTGAATACATAACAACTCTTCGCCAGGTTTGGAATAACAAAAAAATTCTCACAAACACAAACAGTCTTTACAAATAGAAGTCTAGACAGTGGGCAAGTGTACAGTTATTCATAAATCAAGGACAACACTGAGAGAACAACTATGGCATAGAGTTCAAAATGATAATAACTTGTTTCAATAACTTCAGGTAGTGCTACATTGTCAGAGGGTCAACATTTAGAGATTAAAACTGGTGACCATGAACTAAATACATGTATACAGCCAGAATGCACTAGAATAAATAAAAATACAATGTCTTAGTATGTAGCATAGCAGCTAAAAAGAAAAATGATTCATAAAAGTACAGGAAAGACTGGGTGATATTGCTTTAGCCCCAGTTGCAACATTAAGCCAATATCTAACTCAAGAATTGTACAAACTAGCACAGACATCACTCTTTAGAAAAAAAAACGTTCTTCTTGTTTCTTTTGTCTTGTTACGTGATTCATTCTCTCTCTGCTCCTCTTTGTGTCTTCTCATTTTTAATCATGCCAACATTCATGTACAAGTCATGTCTGTTCTCTGGCTTTACTTTGTTCTGCCTGATAAAATTTTATCATATTTTAATCTTTTTAGGAATCAATGAAGATAGTTTTACTAGGCTTAGATTTTTCTGTAATGTAGTGTTTATTATATAGCATGTTTTTATATTATCTATGCATGCATTTTCTGTTATCTCTGTTTGGTGTTTGTATACGCTTCTTTGTTCGTGATTTTTTTTGTAACGAAGTTCGGTGGAATTTTGTGAATACTTTGTATTTAGTTATTAATAATATTTATTAGGTTCTGTTGTCGTGGTCAACCTGTCAAAAGTGCTCTAACGATACTGTGTACTGTCAATAAGAAGACACAAGATTTAAC